ATGTGCAAAATGATGTAAAAATAAACTTTTGTAATAATTAAAAAAATAAAAAAAAGAATGTATAACATTTTAAAGACATTTCATTAAGACTGTATAAACTGACACCATGAATTTTTACTGATAAAGCTGAGATTTCTCTAGATAATCTAAAGGTCCAATAATTCAAATAGCCTCTACCTGAGCGTGATGATTGTTGTAACTGGAATGTGAGTCTGTCATTTGTATCGGAAATTGAACAACTGTACAGACCAGCAATTTTTCATGAACCTGGCAGGTCTTCAGAGCCTCTCACCCAGTCCTGCCTTTCATCTCTGTAGATAAGCACCTGAAAACAGTTATACTTAAGCACCTTTTGGGGGGTTTTGTTTTATAAAAGTAAATTATTTCTGGCCACTGATGAAGAGCAATGAATGGTGCAGTGAGTAAATATTGACTGACAGTGCAGAGTAGAGAGATTCTGTTAACTCTAACATATGTGTAACAAGATGGAGAGACATCTGTTCTCTGAAGATAGGAAGAGCTAACATTTCCATTTTGTATCTCTGCTGTATATCAACACGCCCAAATGACTACATAAGTGTACAGAAAACAACAAAGAGAAAACAATTTACAAATGCTTTCTTCCTGCCATATAAATCTTGCCACAACTCATCACAGATTTGCATACTTAATTGCGAATTGAGAGGCATTTGATGTGGAGATCTTAAGTTTTGACTCTCAAAAATAATAATAATCATGAACAAATTTTGTCATCGCAAATTTAAAAGGTGGCACAGAGGTAAAGAGAGAAGAGGTTCTGCTGATGGTGTGGGGAAGGAAGGAAATTTCCCTTACTCCTCCACCCTCTTGAACTAGCCCAGGAATACAATTAACATCGGGCAGTTTAGTGTGAGAAGAAAGTAAACCTTTAATTGCATATGTCTGGGGAATCTGTGGATTCTGATTTCACTGAGGGAAATGAGGGTAGGAGTCCTGAGCTAAGGAATGGAATCAGGCTTGAGGCTTGAAGGGGAGAAGAGGGAACTGGATGACCAGTAGGTGATTCATGACGAAGATTCCAGATGACCTACAATTAGATGTTTGTCCTGCCATATAGGTAGGATTCTTTGATAGAAAGGTTGTTTCTGCTGAAAATGATAATTCAAGATTATGCCCCAACTTTCACTTTCCTACATTGTTAAAAACTGTTGATGACTACAACACAGAATAATTCAATTGTACTCAAGCCAGAAAGACTGGCACTACATGAAGTGAATTATACAAATAGACACTGTGAATAGATGAGTGTAGTAACTACAATGAAATTTGAAATTATTCTATTGGAATTATGCACACAAATATTTAAATAAAACAGTGTGGTACAAGTAAATACAAAATATATTCAAATTTGAATCAGTGGAACTTTAAAAACATGGTAAAAGAAACAGAACCTCTAGGAGAGACATTTTCTTAAGAATCAAGTAATAATCTCAAATGAGACAAAAATTGCATTTCTCTTGTCCTTAATGGTTTTTTTTTAAATCATGTTAATTATGATAATGTTGGCTTACAACATTGACTTTGTTTTAGGAGCTGTAGGTTACATACATATTCTATAAATATGCTTTCAGGCCACAGCCACCACCAAAGCTCTTACGTCTTATAATGGTCTCCATAAAGAACCAATCAGGGCTTCCTTGGTGGCCTAGGGGTTAAGTTTCAGTGCTGTCATTATGGCCTGAGTTTGATTCCTGGCCAGGGAGCTAACCCACATATGGCACAGCAGACCTGTCCTGTTTCACCAACTGCTCCCCACAGCAGAGATTTCAGTACATCCACCTGTTCTACTCCCCACATTATCTCTGTTGAATCCTCTCAAGCCATACCCTACTCTGTACCTCTGGCTTAAACTCCAGTTCTTCTACCAAGAAAGGGGAAAAAAAAAAAAAAACCCTCCCAAATGACAACTTGGAAAAAAAAGTATATGCATATTTCCTGGTTTCAGGATTGTGCAATAACAGATGAGAAAGTTGCCAGTGTTATAAAAGCAATTTGGGAAGTCAGTTTGGAAATTCAAAATAGAAATAAGCCAGCACAGATTCCTTCATCTTTAAATACGATTTGGAACAAGTAGATGCAAAGGTAGTCTATAACCTAGATTCTTACCAGAATCCAGAATATGTCAAATTCTGAAACAGGATTATGCACCAGAATCTCATCAGAACCACACTGTGCTTATAATACAAGCAAATTAAATGCATTTTCTCTGTCCACGCAAAGACACATATATCATGTTAACTTATGTGCTATAGTTAATATAATTATGTAGAATGCCCACATATGCGCGTCCATTTCTTTATGCACTGATGGTTTTATTGAATTATTCTAGGTTGATTTTGAATAGAATGACAGAGAGGCTAAGTGCCTGATGACTATGAACATGAGAATAAGAGCACTGAAATAAAACAGTCCCTTACTTGTCTCTTTCTGTGAAGATAGATCCTCTAAACACACACACACCACTTTACCACCATGTATTCTGCATATTTGATTATTTTATCTTTGAGATTCACTATGAACTGACTTTGAGACATGTAAAGTATGCATAATTCTTTACTTTCTTAATAATGGTTTTGGAAGCTAATAAATCATTAAGTATTTCATATCCTATTTCAGCTAAAATCAATTTTGAAAATTAATGCAAATTATACTTACTAAATTTAGGAATGGAATATAATTCTAGGTAATTTAGGAACTACCATATGTTGCTTCAATTAAAAAAAAAGTGTTTCCTGTTAGATAATTTTACAGATATTGAGTGTTTTGTGTGTCTACCTTTGCATTTTACTGCAGTTAATATGGACAGTAAAAGTTATAGATCAAAGAATAGATTCAACATGATTTTCATAGAAAGTTATGCCATTCCAAACAGAGTAAATTTGGTCTATGGTCATTTTTGCCTTTAAAAGCCTGATTATATAAAATGTTCTTAGTTACACAGCCATGAAGTCTCTGTTTAGTATGTTTAAGTTAAGGCATATACTACAATGTGCACACTGTTTAGAAAGTTTGAGTAAATGTGTTCATCTGCAAAAAAGTCATCAAATTGAACACTTCAGATAACGTTATAAATGCATATAAGTATACAAAATAATTAAACATGAAATTACTTACTCCTTTGCATATATTTGGCTATTAAAGAGCATTGAATAGAACTAATTTATTTAAATGACTTTTTTTAAGATTTGATTTATACATACAGAACTGCAGTACAGACCAGAAGTGCAGGGGCGGTGAGAGGCTTCACCAGAGACAGCATGGGGAGCAGAGCAGGCAGATAGATGAAGTACACTGCTGAGGGGAGCAGTGGGCGGGTCAGGAGAGGTCTGCCGTGCCATGTGGGTCACCTCCGGGGCGGGGATTGAACTTGCACTGTGGCGGCAGCTGCCAGCTTTGCTGTGCTGTGTCCTAACCCATTGTGCCACCACAGAGGGCCCGAATAAAACTAGTTTTAGTTTTAGTTTTACCTTGAGACTTAATATTTAATTACCAAAGTAAAAAAACTCAATCTTCTTTGCAGTAAAATTTACTCTATTATATCACCTCCAAGTGAAACATTACCTGCAATGTGTAGCAAGTTAATTACAGCTTTTATCTTTAAAACCTCATTCATTTTGATTTTAAATTAGATAACATTTGTGGAAAAACTACCATTAATGTTGTGTTGACAGTCAAGAAATTTCTTGACTGTGAACTTGTTACAAAGTACACATGCTTACCATGGTTGTCTCTGCAATGGAACCAAAACTGTTTATGAATATGTTGCACGTGACATTAACTGGCGGGCCTGAAAAAAAAAAAGATGGAAAAATAAGTGCATTTAGATATTGTTCAAAAATACTTTCAAATATTTCAATGCTCCTCCATATTCATTTTTAAAAAAAGAAAAGTATATTTGAACATCAACAGGCTTGGTGCTTATTACTGAAAGCAATTATACTATGGAGTAATCTGGATTGCAAATCAGAAACTGATGGTCTCCTTATGCTGACCATTATATCAGTCATTAACTTCTTCGGATCCTAGATTTTTTTTGATGCTGCTATTGTCATGGTAGTGAATGTCAGAGTCAGTAAGTCCAACTTCTAAGCCCCTTCAGGGAGTTTCTGTTGATTTTCCCTCACCCCCAGGTATTGGTCGTAATTTTCTCCTTTCCTTTTGCACATCACACAATTGATGTTGCATTGTTAGACACTTGAAGTAATATAAAATTGCAGATCTGGGTAGCAAATATTCCACTTACAACCTAAGGTTTACTGTTGTTGCTGGTGTTTCTTATTGTTGTTTGCTGCTAACTGACTTAACCTGGGCTAATGCTTTAGACATTACAAAGAATGAAAAGGAAGCCCTGATTTCTATACTTTTAGTCTCAGACCCATTTCAGAACAAGCCAGCAATCTCAGAGTAATCTTCCCACCTTAACTATTGGTATATAGGTTCAAAAATGTAGAACATGAAGCTTGGTGAAGATTTTAAATCTCCCATTGCCATTACAGACAGCACCTGTGTAGCAGCCCTTACCCAATCTGCTAGGTCTCTGCCAATGCAAAAGCTGTTACACCCATTTACACACTGTTATGGTTAGCCACAGAGCAAATAACTGCTATAGCATCCATATGGCAAACGGGGCTTTTAAATTGTCATTTCATTCAGCCATTGTTGCCATGAAAAGTAAATGGCAGTAATTGCAGATGTTTTCAGCACTATGTTCCTTTTAGATGTCCCATAAAGAAACAGAACATGGCTTTTCATTTCAGAGATGGGTGAAGGCAAAACAGCAAAGTACAATGCAACGTCTTGGAATGCTATTCTTGTGATGCATGTTGGGGAAAACTACCTGCCAGGCAGATCTAAAGCGAACAAACAACAGCTCACGTGATCACAAAAATGACTGTCAGGAATGCTTCATATAATATATTAAATTTACACCATTTTTAACTGAAAGATTAAATTTCAGCAAAATTCTGTCTTTTGATTTTATGATGAAATCCAATGTCTACAGTAGAATATATATGACATGCATTATATAAAGATGCCACTGGGAGGGATATTTTGTGAAGACAAAAAAAATGCTATCTCTAGATTTTAAAAAATTGTATCTGGAGGCAGAATGACTGATGTATGAATCCAAATTAGACATAAGGGTTGTCAAAAGCCCACTGAAGGCAGATGAGTGGCTGAATAAATGTAGTCTGTATAAAAAAGGGGTTACCACTCTGGCAAAAATAAAGATGAAATTCTGCCGTACTGTATGTTGTAATATTGCAATGTGCACATTATGCAATATTATTGCAATAAACCATTCTGCAACAACATAGATAATCCGGTCGGTATTAAGCATAGTGAAATAAGTCTAAAAGAGAAAGACAACTATCAAAATGATATCAGTCATGTGAATCAAAACATAGAGATTCCAAGGAAATGAATGAACTAGATAAAAGAAAGTTTCAGGCTATAATAAAAAAAAATAGATATAAATATAAAACGAACCCTTGATCCTGTTGAGAAGGCCCAAAGAATATGGTCAATGAAAAGAAGTAAATGTGGCAGTGACTGGAAGAACAGTATGGTGAAATAATATTATATTGGCTGGTGGGTGTACTTTTATTTGTTATTCAATTGCTTTTTGTCTGTTAAACTAACTTCTACTTTCAAATGATGCCTGGAAGCCTCCATTTCAAGACGGGGAATTGAACTTAATTTTCTTTCTCTCTGAGGCCATAAATATTTATTATCAAATAAAAATGAAATAAACCATCACATACATTCCAGAGAATGGGAGGAAAGTCAGAATTCACTTAATGACATAGAACAAGGAGAATGGCTGACAGATGAAACAGCAAAGTCTAAAATAAGTGCAAGTTAGGATGCGTGGAAAGAGAAACTAAAGTGTGAACAACAACCAAGGAACTTAATGTTTACAGTCACCCTTTACAGAAGGTGGGGTGTAACCAAGGTCCATCTAGAAAGCTCCCTGCTTCTCATCCATGTCCCAACAGAACAGAAGTGTCCTGGGTTAAGGCACAACAGGTTAAAGAACAGCTCTGTGAAGCGATCAACAGCTGCTACCACACAAGTTCGATCCCTGGCCAGGGAGGTGACCCACATGGTGCAACAGACCTCTCATGGCCTGCCTGCTGCTCCCCTCAGCAGAGTATTTCAGTAGATCTGCCTGTTTTGCTCCCCACTCTGTCTCTGGTGAGTCCTCTCACTGCCCCTGCACCTCTGGCCTGTACCCCAGTTCTGTGTGCATAAATAAATAAATCTTTAAGAACAAAAGAATTATTGAAGGAGTGGAAATAGCTTTAATTTATTATTATTATTATTATTATTTTAACTTTCTGCAAACATAGTTTATTAAGGTCATTGGAAATAATATAGCTCTGTTAATCAACACTGACTTTCTTATTTATTTATCCAGAACTGGGGTACAGGCCAGAGGTGCAAGGGGTGAGAAGATTCACCAGAGACAGAGTGAGGAGCAGAACAGGCAGATGTACTGAAACCCACTGCTGAGGGGAGTAGTGGGGAGACAGGAGAGGTCTTCTGTGCCATGTGTGTCAGCTCCCTGGCTGGGGATTGAATTTGTGCTGCAGTGACTGCTGATAGCTTGATAGTGCTGTGATTTAACTACCAGCAGGGAGGACCCAATGCTGACTTTATTAAAAAGGATCTTGGGGAAATCATCACCTCACCAAGCAACAGCCAGACCTACTGGCAGATCAAGATGATGATTCATATCATCAGGCAAATATGCAATACTCAGGTGCCTTAGAAATGCTAAGAACTGAGACCTCAAATCTGGTTAATATCTAAACGTTCTTTCTGTGTACAAGGTGTCATTCTAAGCATCTTCCAAGTGTGCTAAACTCACCTAAACTCTCTTATCCTCACAGCTCTATGAGGCAAATGTCTATCACTAATCCACTTTTGCAGATTCCAAAACTGAGGCGCGGGTAGATTAAGGTTTCACGTGGTAGTCAGTACAGGTTGCAAACCTGATCATTCTGAATTTCCCCTGTTATGTACTGTCTTGCCATCATGAGTTGTGCAATGTAACACTTATAACCGGCTACCACAGTCAGTGCAGATAAGGAAGCATGGAGGGTTGTAAAAGCACAAGAAAGAGGATTTAGCAAGGTCTTGGGAGTCAGAAAGAGTGAGCAGCTATTCAGAAAAGGCCACAGGGGATGAGGGGACAAGATCTTTCTAGGCAGAAAGGCTAGCACACAGGAATGCCTGAAATAATACACTAAGGAGGAGACTCTTTAATTGTTTCCCTCCCCACAGTTTAATTGAGGTATAATTCCGTTAACATTGTGTGAGCTTTTCAGCACACAATGGATTGATATGATACACTTACATACTGGAATATGATTGCTACCCAGCATTAGCTAACATCTCTGTCATCTCCTGTAATTACTCTCTTTTCCATGCTGACAAACATTTAAGATCAACTCAGTAACTTTCAAGTATAAAACAGAATATTAATGGTCATCAAAATGCCATGCATCAGATCCCTAAAATGTAGTCATATTCTATTTGCAAAAAGCATATTAAAATAGAGAAATAACTCTTGATCCCTGGGTGAAACAAGCTTCCTGACAGTACGTTAAAGCTAAAGCCAGCTGAAGTCTGGCATCTGAAGTCCCCAGATAAAAGCCTTTGTGATATTCTTCTGTCACCTAGACCAGTGGTCTGGCTGGCACACTGACAGACCGCAGAATTCCTTTGGAGGAAGAGAAACTACCTCCTTACACACACACACACACACACACACAAAGAGAAGCTATATCAGCACTCATGCATATTGATTCAATCCTTCCTCAGTTGAAGAGAATGTCTAACATAAGTAAGTCAACTAGTGCTCAAAAAAAATGAACAATATAAAAACATAATTGTTCCCACAGGTAGATGAGAGCAATCACTTGGCAGAATACAAGAATGGAGACATTAAATTCAGTTTGGTTAGTACAAAGGAATCTTACAATCAATAGGTAGAAAGTTAGTAGAAAGGGATCTAGAAAACAGTCAGGACTCATCAGACGTAACCAACTTTATTTTGGAGTGTCTCAGATTTATAGAGCTATGTGTGAGGGCTGTTGAGGTAAAGGATCACACTTAAAATATTTTGGGTCAATTTATGTTTTTACTAAGTTTAGTTACAGGGTTTTTACTATTGTCATAGAAGAAAAAGAGCTAAACATTCAAAGTAGCACCTTCCCTGCACACAGTAACAGCACCCGGATTTCATTCAAGGAGGTGGTAACCAGACTGAAACACCAGGGCAGAATTAAAATCATCCTAAAGAGAGGGGGAAGGAAAGAAAACTTGAAAACTAAAAGCAAAAGAAGAACAGGATATGAAGAAGGATTCAAGAGACTGCTGGTTAGAGGGACAACTGGATCTGTCTTAACTTGTCTGAAGTTCCAGGTCATTCGTGCCCAAGTTCATGCATGGACTGATGGCTCTGTGGTTGTTGTTCTGCCTCTTCCATTTCTCCTTTTTCAGAAACTGGAAGCATTTTCAAGGATTTCAAGTTCCAGGAAAAGAATGGTTTGTCTGCCTATGAAGTTTGTTTTTCAAAATGGAAGTGACTGTTTCTATACTTACTATGTCTCCATCCTAAGACAGAATATTCGAAATGATTATCTGTGCAAAAATCATTTCTAGTGAATGTTTAACAACTTTGGTGACATTCTTTTTAGCAGACGAAAGATAATTCTTATTAACAGACTGCTAGATTATCTATTGTTACTTTATAATAATTCAAGAAAGCATCAATTGACCAGGACAAAGATTAGATAGGACTTAAAGTTACTTTCATGCTCAAATATTCTAAAAGCACCGGGCCTTTCTTGGAGAAATCTGATTATCAAAAAGGTGTAAGATAAACTATCACTATTCTGGAGAGTCGGTTCATTTGTGGAAAAGAAAAATAATGGTAGTGTGTCAAGTGCCAAAATATTTTTATTTATCTATTAGTACAGAATTATGTCAGTATTTATTTTTACGAATAGCTACTATTTATATTTCACCCTTGCTAAAATAATATTTGTGGAAGAGATACCGTGTGCACATTCAATATCTACTTAAAGTAATTTAAGAGAATGGTGGAGTCCACTTAGGTGTGCTGCATTTTATTAACATCTTTAAAATGTTCAGTCCAAAACAGATCAGATTTTTAAAGTTCTTATTTTAGAAAAATGGCATACAATAAAAACACTGTCATAACTTGGTTATAGAAAAATGCTTATACTGAGAATTCTTTTAAGTCAGCAGTTTGCAATAGAACAAAATCAAACCTACCTTTCAGTGATGCTATTTTATGTTTAAAATAATACTGTGTACTATGGGTTACATACAGATAAAACCTTCTTTAATGTAGAAACTTTAATGTGAAAACTTTCACCAATTTGAAGCTAGTGTTCCAGAATTAAAATTCATAATCATGTATTTGATATTCATTAAAGAATTAGTATTAGTTCTTTAAATGCTGACAATTGAAAAATGAAAATGTTATAACATCGTTATTAAATTCTGAATTATGCTGGCTGCTAATAAGATTAAACATTTTTATTTATTTTTTATGAATTGATAGTAAGATCTTGTATTTGTTCCTTATAAAATTTATATATTATTCTTGGGAGTCAAACATACAAATTTCCCCCCAAAGACTTTTATATCTTGAAACACTTGTCTATTGACTGATTAGGATTCTAGGTAAATTATTTTCTAGATTTATTTTTTTTTATAGTATTTATCCATAAAAAAGAGACGACTACATCATTTAAGTTAGTGTCATATATTTTTACACCTAGAATTACCTTAAAAAACTAAAACTGGAAATGCCATACAAAGCAGAAATACTACTCTTGGGAATCTATCCAAAGAACAAGAAACCATCAACATGAAAATTTACAAGCTCTACTATATTGGAACACTACTTATTATAGGTCATTGAAGCAAACGGACAGACTATTGATGGAAGAGTGGATGAAGAAGGTGTGTTAGAGCCACACTGACTGTGACTCATTAATAAGAAAGGAGAACATGCCATTTATAGAGAAATGGGAGGATTTAGAGAGAATTATGTGTAATAAAACAATGACACAGATGAGACATTTCCATAGTGGGCACTTTGATAGAGTAAAATTTATAAAAACGGCCCTCCATGGTGGCCCAGCAGGTTAGGACACAGCACTGCAAGTGAGCTGCAGCCACCTCAGTGTGAGTTCGATCCCCGGCCCCGGAGGTGACCCACATGGCTTGGCAGACCTCTCCTGACCCGCTCAGTGCTGCTCCCTTCAGCAGTGTATTTTTGTTGATCTTCCCGTTCTGCTCCCCACTCTTGTTTCGGGTGAACCCTGTCATGGCCCCTGCACCTCAGGCTTGTACCCCAGTTCTGTATGCATAAATAAATAAATCTTTTTAAAAAATCATAAAAAAATTGGTGACTAATAAATGAATAAATAAATGAATAAGTAATAAAATGTGATTTCTGAGATTAACAAGGAGAGGGTGGGGGAAGAATTAAGGAATATGAAATTGTGAAAAACTAAGCAGGGATGTTTAAAAATATTTTGAAAAGGGACCAGAATGTCTGCTGGTAGAGAGAATAAATTAATGATAAATCAAGACAGTGCTGAATTGCTTAATTTGGAGAAGACAATGTTCTACTCTTGGAAAATAATAAGCAATAGAATTAAGTAAGAATAAATGATTCTTTTAACTGGCATCATCCTTTTTAGTCAAATGCAACATGAACTTGTTTTTCTAATATTTACTGCATAGGTTATTTTGAAAAGTCACACAATTGAGAAAAAAGTAAAAAAAAAATTACTTTGTTCCTTTATGGACGGGACAAAGTAAGAATTGATTTTTCTACATTTTTTAATAACTTTTTTATATTGAGGTAACACTAGAAATAAAGGATCATACCTCTTCAGATATCTGTCACTCCACTACCTCCCCAACCAAGGCAACGCTACCCAGTCCTGAGATGATGTGTTATCAGCTAGAGTTGAAGAATGTATATCTCTTTTAAAAAGAGTCAACACTTGTTCTGAAAATATCAGATACTTGAATTCCTTGTTGTAGGTCTTACACTCTTTCCTATCAATTCAGGTGAAACATTTGATAGGTCAGATAATTTCTTAAACATTTAGTGGTTTTTGGTTATCAAGACTCTTCTCCGGGACACAAAGTCAACAACAGTTTGAGTCTGAATGCAGAGAGTACTTCTGTGGAGGATTGAAATTATGGGAAGGCTTATTGGCAGCTATAAAGATGCTTCCATCAGTTAATGAGAATACATAGGTAAATTATATCCATATTAATATCACATAATATGTGTTATTCACACACACACACACAAACACACACATAATTTCCTTAAAGGAATCATGTTAAGTGATACAACTGTACAACTATAAAGAAGGCAAAAAACCTTCATTTATTCAAAGATGAAGACACATTATAACATGAAAACAAAGTTCTTCTTTCAAGACATGTCTTTGACGAATACAAAGATTACTGGACGACTTGGAAGATTACTGGAAATGAGCATTAGAATTTTGGGTGAAATCAATTTAAAAATATATTCTGTTTAGTCATACTGAAATCACATGTAATAGACAGTAGAAAGCAGAAGTTACCTTTAAAATTGGGTCTGATTCTTGCATCATAACCTGATGTCCTCCCCATCAGTTTATCCAGAAAGTCAGAAGGTGACATGGGAGCACTTCGAGATCTTGCACTATCTGTTTCCTTAGTTGCAACCAAACTACAAACAGAAAAAAAAAAAAATTTACAAAAAAAGGTCTTGTCACCTATACATACGAAATAAAAAAACTAAACAAAATACCTTTGAAAACAAAAAAGGAGGACAAATCCTGGATGACCTCACACAAGTGGGACAGACAAGCAAAACTATGGAACAGATGAAACTAAACCAAGACAAACACTGGGAATCGGACAGCAGAATTGAAGCCGTCAAGATGGAACGGGAGGTCGCCATGATGGACTGGGTGGGTGGAGCGCAAAGTGGGAGGGGCCCCTGACGCTGATGGCTGCCCAGGTGGGTTGATGCACGGTTCAGGATGTGATCCTGGACCGCTACATCGTGTACTGCGCAGTAAATCAATGTCACATTAGTAAAAGCCTAGCACAAATGAAATGTTTTGTAGGCTGTATGGTTTATAAGATCCTAATATCAGTTTGGTATTTATACACAGTCAATATTTATAAATGTTCATATGAACTCAACCTAAACGTGCAATGAGCCGTTATTTTGTGTTGACTTTGGAAAAAAAGCTTCTTCCAAACGATTAAGCTTTCAGATTTTGTATTTTCTCCAACTTTATTCCTGATTGCATTTTTTTTTAGTTAAAACTATCCTTAGTGTTCCAGGCACAAGAAAATATAAAGGTCCAACTACGAAATATAAATATCATTGCCTTTAATGAAGAAAAAAAAAATCACCTTTCTGCTTTTGTGAATTTTTCCTAACAATAATAAAATTTCTGTCTGGTATATTATAAAAACAACAATAATGTTCTTTTCTTAAATTGGAGTGCTTCCCATATAAGTAACATACTGTTAAAAATTCATCCTGCTTCGACTTTATTATTGATCGACAGTACATTTTGTTCAGATCTAAAATTTGTGCATCAAAATTGAGAAATTACCATAAATGTCATCTGTGCACCTGGATAGTGTATAATGAGAACCTGTTTCTGGGAAAAGTAGAAGGGCATTGTATTTTTTTTATTCAAATATTTTTCTTTAATGCAGCTGTTCATCTTAGAAGCCTGTGAGTGTAACTGTACCCCCCTGGGTTGGTCCACAGAAGGCCTGAGCCTGCTTACTAAGATCAAATGACTTTTTCCATCCACAGAGTTTTGCTCAGGAAAATGACGCAGTCCTTCTGAGTGTGTGTGGTGCTTGGACCTGAAGTATTCAAGCTGGTGTTACTTCCTAGACACTGTCAATCAGCACATCCTCCCAGCTCTGTCACTTGACTCGGAGCTTTTTGAAGGCTGAATCTTTGTGGTCACCTGATTTCAGAAGGATCAGGTTACTGAATTCCTCCTCAAATTTTTATAGGAAGTGAAAATGACCTTAGAGTTATCACCCTAGAGTTGTCCATCACACACATAGGCACAGTGACTCATGAGCACAGTCTTAAATTCATTATCAAGGATAACATGAGAATGATCATTTTGAAAGCATAGTGTCACAACTACCATCATTCGTAACTTATCTCCTATTCTAGAGTTCTTTCTAGCTCTGGGATCTAAGTTACTTTTCTCACTCCTTTGTGTGTGTGTGCATTCTCCATAAACAGAAACGGCTCCACTCTCTGTGGCTTCCACATTACTTACATCCATTGATCTGTGATTATTACTGAGCAGTTGAACTCCCTGCTATTGCAATCTCTGGAAAGTTTGTTCTAATGTATCAATAAGAAGAAATAAACCACTACCTCTTCAAATAAATCCTTTCACATCTGAGTTTAAGTAACTTTTACCTTTTTTTCTTAAGCAATATTTGTTTATTTTCCATAGTCCAAGAATATAGAATAGAAAGTCATTATAGATGCTCTAATAGCTACCCACTGCTGCTTTCAAACCACTCTCTTATCTCCCTTTAAAAAATCATTTGAGCTATGAGAAAATAAATTACATCTTCCTATCAACAAGTATACCAATTTACTGAATTTAAGCCAATAACACCCTGTCCCTCACCTTTTAAAAAATATCAGATATCTATGCTCAATGGAGAATCCCTCTCATTTTGCACTGCATCAAGGAGATTATCAGATCTTATCCTGGTTAGCCCAACTCACATTATGTGCCAGGAAAGCAGAGAGTAGAGTGATGTGTCCTTCACGAGGGCAAGCCATCTGTCAACAGAAGATGGAAGGGGAAGGAAGAGCTTTCCCCCAAACCCCCTGTGTGGAGAATGGTCCTGCTTATACCTTGTTTTGAACCCAATGAGTTGGTTTCAGACTTCTGACCTCCAGAACTGTGAAAGAATAAATTTCTGTTGCCTTAAACTACCTGATTTGTGGCAATTTGTTATGGTAGCCCTAAGAAATAAATACAGCCATTTTTCATATTGGTTACTCTACTTTTCAAGCCCAGAATTATTATACTATAGCTATAGCTATATACATACATACATACATATATATATATATATATATATATAATTGATACATTTCAGTTGCATTTTTGTATTTACTGAGATATTAATGTCATTATTTTTACTTCTTTGGGCATGTAGCTCTTTGGATATATTGGATATAACTTGTTTAAAATCTTTGTCTAGTAATTCCAATGTCTTTGCTTCCTGGAGGATTTTTTATTGATATTTTTGTTTCTTTGAATGTCTCATTACTTCTACTGAAAACTGGACATTTTGAATAACAGAATGTGACCACTTTATAAATTGCACTCTCCTTTTTCTCCCTAGGTGTTTTTTGCATGATTTTGTAAAATCTGTTTATTATTATTATTATTATTATTATTATTATTATTATGGGAATAAATAACTGTTTAATTAATTTAGACATCAGCTGGTACTCTCACAGGTATTATCTTAAATTCCTGAAACCAACAAATCTTGCAGCTCGATCTGGAGTTCTGTGTTCATGAAGTCATGCCTTCAACATCGAGTTAGGGCATCAGCTGGTAAATTTGCCTACGCCTTGACTCCTCTTTGCACAGGTCCTCAACATCAGCTAGACTTGAGGACTACAGGTCTTCTCAGGCCTTTCCAAATCATGTACACCGTGTGGGTGTATCAACTTTCTAGAACTGCCTTGATCAACGGCTAGTAACTGAAATTACTTTTCTCATAATCCTGAAGGTTAGAGGTTTAAGATCAAGTCATTGCAAGATTAGTTTCTTCTGATGAGCTCCCTCCTTGTGTTGTAAATTTCCATCTTCCCTCTGTTCTTCACAGGGTCCTTCCTCCCTCTGTGTCTGTATGCCAGCCCCCTTGTTAAAAGGACACGATCAGTATAGGGTCCACCCAGGTGACCTGCAATTACCTGAATTATTTCTCTTTTAAGTCGCCTCCTGAGATATTGGAATTTAGGGCTTCAGCGTGAGAATTGTGGGAGGATGCAATTCACTCCCTAACATGGGAGTGCTTACTGCCTTGTGTATATGTGTGGACTTCTAGCTGCCTAGAGATATGAGTGTCTTTTCTGACCTCCTGGAACTTCACTGTTTTTCTTTTTCTTTTCTTTTTTTTTTTTGTTTGTTTGTTTGGTCTGTTGTTTATTCCCACTGTCACCTACTGCCTCAGGCATCTGTGAAGAATTACCTCTAAATATATTTGACAAATACCTTCAGGGAAAAGGTTTTTCACATAGGGTTAACTGCCACTTAGGTTAAATAAAAGCAATCTTGTATTTGGAGACTTCCAGAGAATCTCCAGGCAGATCAAATAGATCTCTCAGGAAAGGGTTTTCCAGGAGCTCAAATTCCACTGTTTGCTGCAGTAGCTGCTTGGCTGCTGTTTACTGTGGCTATCAGCTGCTGGCATTTTTTTTTTTTTTTGGCTGACTTTTAACGTGATTGTGCAGCAAGCCAGAAAGCAGAAAGTCATAAAAACACAAATCAGATGTTTTATTTGAATAAATTACCTCACGGATTACCACAAGAAAATGATTAATTGCCAGGATTCTGTGTAAAGCTGGTTCTCATGTTTTTGACAGCTTTGAGAAGAAATTATGAAGGTTTGTACTCCACTAAGTTTGCTGATATTGCCCCAGTGGGGATGTCTCCCAGGCTACTTTTCAGATGTGTTTTATCACTGTGTGTCCTCCCAATGCATGCATCACTTCCCATAGGAAGATTCTGTAGGATTCATTTTTTTTTTTTCATAATGAAGGTAAAACTTTTCTTTGAAAACAAAGGATTCAACTTTGCCTTTTGGGTCTTCCCATATGAATAGTCAGAAACTATGACTAACACCAGCAGCTTCAATAAATATTCTATTGATGATGGTGTTCTTGTGTTAGCAATAAAGCAATAGTTTTATTATGTAACTATCATCTATCAATCATCTATCTATTGAATCATCTTATTTATAAGAGCCCTCTCTCTCTCTGCTGGCCCCACATTCTCTTATCTATAGAGAAAGGGAAAAGGGGAGAAGGTGTTAAATATCAACATGAGGAAGTGTTCATTGAGCATTTTGAAAATTTGGTTAAATATTTTTTAAGCTATATTTTGCAGGTATGTTCAGATATACTTATAATTTTAATGAAATAAAATTAGTTTTATTTCTTTAAATAAATAGATGCTAAATTTTAATGTTAACAATTACTTGCATTAATTCATATAACACCACTTTCCAAATAGTTTTATTGCCCTATTTTTTTTCAAATGTTACATTCTATAAACAATATTGAAATTGAATTAAAGTCACATGTTTCCTCTCATACAAAGTAATCTTCTTGAACAGGCTATTGTAACAGTTTGATATTTGAGCTAGCATGAGGGAAGTGTTGAGTATTTCTGGGAGTGTGAACAGAGTCATCCTCCAGAAACAAGCTATCTCTCAAGCAGTGGTCAGTTCTGCTGTGCTAATGACGTGTGTCACTTGCATTTTCTGCATTAAGTCACCATGTTGGTAAAGGACATGAGGAACACCCAGGGACAGACATGGGCACCCATGGAAAGACAACATAGAGAATCTACACAAGAGACAATTTTCTGTAGCAAATGTCATGTTGACTACTAACGGATATTTGTACACTTGACTTTT